AAAAATATTATATTTTTAAGTGAAATTTCTCAGTGTCAACTTTAGTACTGACCTTGCTCTCGTCATTTGGTATTAGAGGGTGAAACCAGCGGCTTTCGCCCGTAGTTTTATTGAAATAGTACATTCTGCCATGGTTTTTCGATTGGCTCAGTATCCAGCCATTTGGTAAATTTGCCTCGAATTCTTTCTTCACAGCAGCTTCGAGCTCRATAAACAATATATCTTCGTCAATCATAGCGGCTCCAATATTATGATTTCTGTTTACTGAATATAAAATTAAAGAAATGTTTTGGTCGAAAAAATTAAAATATATTAGTGACTAGTATATGGCAACATATATATAATGATGGCAAAAAAGACGGTTTCAAGCAGTGGCGGTTTCTAAATTTAGGCTGTGACCTAAGCTCTACTCACCTAAAATGATTTACATGCAAGTAGTTTGACCTTCAATCAGAAAGATTATAAAAACATAGGTAAGGATTTGGATAAAATAGCTAAGCGGTAGAACAAATAAAAAGTATCAACTCGGTGAAACGCGCGCGTACCAAGCCAAAACTGAAAACCCGCCAAAAAGTGCYCCAGATCGAAACRTCTAGCCCATTTTGTGATGTCAAACTATGAGAATAAACTATCAAGWTGTTTAGTGAAATACTGTATATTGATAAGTTTTAATGGRAGAATACCTGTGCGTAAYTATTGTCYGTYTCTATTGAATAGTTTAAAAGTGCGCGCTCGGAATGACTGTGCAATCCCCGTCAAAAACCGGACWCCRCACTTTTTTGCTTTTTACTAGAAAAAGTCTTGAAATTATTATCTTTCAAGTGAATCTGCTTTGTTGTTTGATTTTTAAGTGATCATTATAACAAGTTATATAGAAAGTTCATATATAATCAACCATACATAAGGCGTCCTTAGCACTTTTAATGGAGTATGATAGAGTCTTTGGAAGCCGCCCCTGAGGTCTTAGTCACGCATGGCTCATGTAAAATCAAAACTGCTAGTTCGACAAGTACAAATTCATCGTTTTGAACTGATTTCATGAAAGTAAAATGTGCATTTTTAGCCCCTACCTCACAGAGTCTAGTCAACTTTGGTATGTAAAACACCGAATACTTTCAGCATCTCAGCCACAACCTTCAAGAAGTCGACAGTTTTATAACTATTTAAATAACATCTATATAAAGTTTCTGTTTTACAAGGTTTTACAGCAAAGTAGCTGTCAGATTAAGCGCGGTTTSATCTCAACGCAATGTCCGTTGTACCAGTGTGCCCTATTAAAATGCACCTAAACAGTCGAATTTCAAACAGTCAAACAAACTAAGCCACTGTCAGTTGAAGATGACAATGTTCTTTTGTCTTCAATTGACAGTTTGAMGCAGAAAAACCGCTTATGAAAACAGAATTAAGGTATTGAGTTGTAAGTGAGCTTTTGGCGTTTTTTTTTTATGAATTTCTATACCCACGTAACTTTGTCCTCTTCTCGGACGATAACTAAGGATTTTTCGCTATCCGAATCAGGAATTATATKAAAAATGTACGTACTAGCAAACGGTACAAAATTTAATAATGAGTACATCTACACATTCTGTACCCTGGTTTCAGAGAATTTCATTCTCTGTCTAATATATGACAAAGAACAGAGAGACACAGAGAATCGACAGAGAAGCCTCTGGAACCAGGGTACACCATGGACCGCGGAGCAGGGGGGCTTGGGGGCTACAGCCTCCTCCCCTCCCCCCCATAATCATTCCGACATTTTGAATTTTCTTAAATTAAGAAGCGAATAGCCTCCTTATGAAATTTCACCATATATATTCTATTAAAATTGTGTACAAAAAACTGAGCGTGAACAATTAAAATTGCAAAGCTTTTTTGCGAAGTCTTTGGGTTTATTGATAATATCGCTGACCGTGTGTGCGGTAAAAATGTCTTGGATAACGCATCAAAACGCTGGAAATGACATTCCTCTACAGTACATCTGAGCTCAACAGTCAAACACAAATATTGGTCATCCTCGGGAATCCAAGTACTGCTGTTGACCCCTGGTTTCTGAGGATGAAAATTAGATGACAATAAAGGGAATAAACAAATTCCTAT